TAGACCTCTGCAAGTGCACATATCGCGGAAGTATGGGTATCGAACACAAGGACTGGCTATTGAGTACACTTTGAAACTATGGATTTTGGATCAAGCTAAAACAAAAGTATGATTGAGGTTGTAATGGTGAACCGAACTAGCAAGTATAACGAGGTTGTAAATCAATAAAGGAAGAAGCGCTAGGTCATAGGGGCTAATCGCAGAGAAGCAAGCAATGATCAATGAAACAATGATAGATGAATTGATTAGGGATGTTGGGATATTAAGAACCGTCTAGAACACAGATCACGAATATAAAACCATTCCACTTTCGAGGCTCCGGCTCCTTTGTTAATCTACCTAGTCGCTAAACTTTTGGTATGTCCCTAGGTGATTAAATCAAGCTTTAGAATGAATAGGTTCTGATACAGTTCACTAGATTATAGTAGATCAACTTTCGCAGTCTAAGAAACCTAGCTTGTCAAAGAATATGTCCGGCGAATGATACAACACTGTCGAGGCTCAAATCAACCTAAGATCGGATTACTAGATGCGCGGTAAAGCAATCAGCATTAGTTAAGTGCACAAGACGAGACAAAGACTCTAATATAATCCCTAGCTAATCATGAAATCAAAGATCAAAAACTCATTGATTAGTAACCCTAGCAACCTAACTAGTGGATTACTCAGACATGATCAAAGCAAACACACATAGAGATGAAGAAAACATGATTGCAATAAAACTTAGAGTAAGAAATCGAAATACAAGGGCGGCTCTCTTTCACAAGAGGCTAAAAAGCTATATATATAGTGCTAGGTCTTAGAGGCGGCTTAGGGTTAAGCCGGGCCGTGAAAATACGTGAAACGGCTTCAAAACGGGCTTCGGGTCGACCGCGGCGTTCGGACGGTCGGACGGGACGATCGGCCGGATAATCGGGTCATGGCGCTGTACAATCGGAACGGTCGTGGCCGGACGGATTCGCGGTCGGCCGCTGTGGTCGGACGGTGAAGCATTGGCCGATGCTTTCTCGGCCGGACGCGGGACGTGGCTTCCCGGCTCGGACGGCGCCATCGGCCGTGGTACGCGAGATAGGTTGCGCGGCCGCGAAGGCTTGCTTCCCGGCTCGCGCGGCATGGTCGTGCGCGGCATGGCTGAGTGGTCGTGGCTTGGCCGACCGCGGGACATTGCTTCCCGGGTCGTGATGCGTACTCGGCCGGATGGTTGAACTTTGGCCGAGACTTCAGACGGACGGATACGATTTTGGCCGACGCGAAACATTCGTTTCTCGGCCGCCGGTTTCTCGATAGAGCCGTCTGGACCAGTCTTCACTCTTTTGGTTATAACTCCTTTTCTACTCATCCAAATGAGGCCATTCCAGTTGCGTTGGAAAGTTAACTCACTCAGAGCACGCAGGGAACTGGTCTTGATGAAATCCATTGAGTAGATCTTTTTCTGGGCCCTCTTAAAGTTGATGCTTGTGCATGGAGCGGCTTGAAGTGCAAATCCTATGGTTTTGCTCCAAAATGCATCATTTCACCTGTTTAGACTCTAGACACTATAAACACAGTAAAACTACCTTTTTAGATAGAAAACCTGCCAAAAACCATTAGAAAACAATACTAAAATAGTATAAAAAGCATGTAAAATAGAGGTATATCAGTAGCTCGTTCAGTTTGACTGAGATGGAAAAGAAAATTGCTCATTTAGCTGTTATTCATAATACAGCCTTGGTAAAACCTTATGTTGTGTAAGTGTTAATTATTTCTATGTATATTATTCATATTCATATAATTTGATACTGATATGTGTTTTATATTTTCCTTTCCTACGCAAGGGCTCATTTACAACATTTCCAAGACACAAACGGTAGATGTCGTCGGGATTCAACCTATTTATGGAGTATGCACACTCAGAATTTCCCGACATGGCTAAAGCAACATGCATGAATAAATTGCATTATGGTTTTATTATTTAATTTAGTTCGTTTGTTTTTCATTGTATACAAACACCAGCGTATACATCATAGATATGGCTAGATGCTGAAGATAAAGACGATACTCTGAAATGGTTGGCTTATGGTCCGCAGAGTGTGGCCAGGTCTTTCACAGGGTATATTGTGAATGGACTGCGGTTTCATACCAACTCAGTTGATAGACTAAGTCAGAATAGTGGGGTTTACTATGAGGCTACATCGATGTGTAGATCTAGTGCTAAGGACACAGCACAAGTAATAGATTTGGTCTCATACTATGGCAGAGTAGTTGATATTATCCTACTAGATTACAATGTGTTCTACTTTCCCATATTCCTGTGTCATTGGGATGTTAGAGGAAACGGTGTTAAAGTAGAATATGAGTTCACACTAGTTAATATGAATCAGAGTCAAGCATCTTTCGCCAAGGATCCATTCATCTTAGCATCTCACGCGAGACAAATATTTTATTCTAGGGATAACGATGATTCCAGTTGGTATGTAGCTATGAGAGGTCCATCTAGGAGATACAGTGATAAGAATGCTGAAATAGTGAACACAGAAGTAGGTCCGCTACCTTCAGAGGTTGACATGGGTATAGAAGACTTGGCAGACGAAGCACCAAATGTCAGAGATGATTATGAAGGAATTTACGTTTGATGTTGTTAGTTCATTGACATTTGATGTGCTGAGTATTGATTCAATATGTTTTCTTCTGTTTTATGGGTTTTTTTTTCTGTGTTTTTGCTGAAGTACTCTGATAATTGGTTTAGTTTATGGTATTGGTCTTGCTTTTTACGCTTACTATGGAATGGTCTTGCTTTATTTATGTTATGTTTGACATTGTTTTTTCAATATGAGTTTTATAGAAGGATTCCAATGGCTAAGACGAAGAAGATTTCAAAAAAGAGGAAGTCCACAGCTGTAGATGATGAATCGGAATTCATTGGCATATAGAGGCAGAAGCAGACGGTGGAAGGCAGGAAGAAACACAGCCTGATGACAGACAACTTGAAGACACTGAGCCTTGTATGGCTGAGGGTATGATAGATAGCCAGATGGATGTACAAGAGTCTGTTCGAGATGGTACGGAAGAACAAACCCGTAAGGAGACCAGTTCCCAAGACGCTGTGAGTGAGGATGTTGCTGATTCGGCTCAGCGACGGTCTAAAAACACCGGGGACCCACTAAGATGAAGGATATTGCAAAAGATCCTAATACCAGAATAAAAGTGGAGTTCACAGAATTGGGAGAACCTTGTGGTGAAGGATCAGTTAAGTTGTCTTCTTACTTAGGCCCTTTGGTCAGGGAACATGTTCTGGTGCTGATAGATGACTGGAGGAAAATCGGTGAAGAGTGGAAGACAGTTCTGTGGAAATCTATAAGGTATTATGTATTCAATTCAGATATTTCACGTATTAACTTGATGTATACTGACTGAAGCCCATGTTTGATTGTAGATACGGTTTGACCTAGAAGGAGAGTATGAGAAGGCGGCTGTCATGAAGCAGATGGAATGTCTTCGGAGAGCCTCTAAGTCACGCTTGGTGAAGCAGATACGGAAAGCTCAGAACCACGCCGAAAGAATGAAACTCCGGCCAGACAATGTCCCTATGGCGGAATGGAGGAAGTTTGTCAAACAGAAAACTAGCTAAGAGTTCAAGGTACTAATGGACGCCTGCTTTCTATCTTTTTCAATTATATTTAACTAATACATGTATGCAGGCTATCAGTGACTCATACAAGGAGAGAAGACGAAAGCCGAATCCTCACACATGTAGCCACAAGGGGATGGTCAGATTGTGTGAAGATTTAGTAAGTGCACTGACTCACAAGTGCTTATCTATATTTACGTTTATAATTTCATAGAAGAAAGAGAGCTCTGATCCGGCGGAGGTATCCAGACTTAGTGTGTGGGTTAATCAAGAACCAAAAAGGATGGTACAGCTGTCAATACGGACGCTGCTGCAAAGATTGTAAGTATATTCTTCTCATTTTATGTCTTACATGTTTTTGTTTTTCTTGTTAAATGAACGTTAAATACTATTTTGTCAGGAACAAGCAAAAGAGTTCATACAATCCGACTCTCAGTCTGCTTCATCATCAAACCCCGCGTGAGATACTCTTGCTCAGATATTGGGACCTGACAATCCCAGTCGCCTGAGAGCAATGGGAAGAGGGATGAGTATCAGCAAACTTGCTTTCTTTCAAGTAAAGAACAAGTACGTGACAGAGATGAAGCATACTCAAGTACAGCTACAGCATCAGGTCCATGAATTACAAGAGGCTCTTGCGCGACTCGGAAGCAACGTAAGTTCATATATATTATACTTACGTAATGTAGATTATCAATGCATACAGTTGATGTGAAATTGTTTGGCAACTTTCAGCGTTCTGAAGCACATGTGGGTGAAAACTCAGCACAAAGAGTAAGAATTTATATGATTTGATATGAGGGAATCCTTCATTTACTAAGTTCAACTAGATTTAACTAATTTCCAAACTGATAATTGTAGAGTGTCAATCAGAAGACGCAGACGAAGTATCTTCTATTTGACTAGTGTGCCTCCGAATTAAAAGTAGCTGAGGGTCGCATACTGTCTACGGACCATATGGATTTCATCAACAACATACCGTTGGGACCTAACTCGGTGAAGGTGATAGTTGAGACGGCCGTCAACGGAGAGGCTTTTATGTGGAGATCTGCTCTGGAAATGTTTACTATTGCTCAAGCAGTAGGCGAAACTATAGCGTGGCCCCAGAACTGTGTTGTTTCCCTTGAGGATGACTTGGACCCATAAGACGTTCCACCTAAGGTTAGGGTTTATTTATCAGAATAAATTGTGGTAAAAGCTTTTAATAGAGTAGTAATCTCTTACTCTGTTTTCTGCATGTATTTGATAGTAGGATTTGTGTGTGGTGTGATATGAAAGATATGAATGATATGAGGTGGAATGCAAACAGTGGTAATAAGATGAGATGGTATGGTGCAATCACAATCACATCAATCAATTCCCTTAACCATCATAGTCATGTAGTATAAGAGGTTATCAATCCAAAATGGGTTGTCTACTCTATGAGAATATGAAACACAAGAAAGTCAAGCAAGCAGTAAATATGATGGGAAGTAACACTAACAACCTAATGAAATGAAATGCAATGCAGAAAGTAAAAGAAACAGTAAAGAACAGCTCGACCAAGGACTCGAGTCGAGTGGAACAGAGTAACCAGCTCGATCGAGTTTAGGGTCAGAGAGAAAGCATAAAGGCAGAACTTTAACAATAATGCGAATTAGGGTCTAAGACAGGGTCTTGCAATCAGGGAAGACTATACTTAATCAATCTTGCTCTTAAACCACTTGTATCAAGGCTATCTCTTGATATTGAGCTTCTCAATGCCTAGCTAACCCTTTCCCAAGGTGAAAGCTATCAACCAAGGAAGATCTCAGAAACAGGGGGTTAGCCAGTGAGAATCAAGCCTTGGAGGCATAGGATCATTGCTCAAACTAATCCATCCAACCCCTTAGAACTCCATTTCGAGAGCAAGAGATATTGGAGCTCTTAGTGGACCTTTTCCAAGCGATTTCCATCACTTCCATGTGGAAATCGCCTAGGACTATACAAGCCAGGGGTAGTGGTCATGTAGCCTTAAGGCTTGTCCAAAAGAGAGAGATTTCTAGATTAAGAACATAAGCAAAAGGATTAAGCATAAGATCCTCTAATCTAGCCCATCTCAAACCCTAATGGGTAACTACTCACTACACATGAATGTAAACACAAGCAAATGCAATGAAAGAGACATCATAAGAAAGAGGAGATGAAATAAACAACTTTTATTGAAATAAGCAAGTGCAAATACAGAAAGATAACCAGATCTAAGGTTCAAGAAGCAAGAGCTTCAAGAACACAAAGAGAGGATTAAGGTTGCAAAAAGTAAAAGACAATAAATTAAAAGAAAAGCTAAAACAAAATAATCTAAAGCTTGTTGTTTTTTCGTGGCTTAAGCCTTTAAATACAAGAGGATTAGGTTTAGGGTCAAAGGGGAAGCAACATTTTTCGGGTTTGACTTTGACTTCCAGCTCGATCGAGTTGAAGCTTGGCCGGTCGAGTTGAGGAGGGTCGAGCTGACTTCAAGATGGCTTCCTTCTTCCCTTTGCGTATCCAGTTGAGCTGCGTCCATGCACCAAGTCCTTCCATGCTCCTCACGTCCCATATGCTCCAAATGCTCCAAAAGACCTATTTCAAAGGACCAAACATGCATATGTATGCAAATGCAACCTAAAACTACTATGAATGCATAAGAAGAGAAAAGGAACAAGATATGATGCTAATGGATGCTAAAACTATGCAAAAGATGCATAAAAGATGTACTAAAACTATGCAAAATGCAAGTACATCAACACCCCCAAACTTGACCTTTGCTTGCCCTCAAGCAAACAAATAGAACAAGAAAGAGATGAGGTTTGAAAACAAGTTGATTCAACACTTAAAAACATGTCCTCAAAAGCGATTTGCTAAATGTCCAACTTAGAGATTCTAGAATGCAACAAGGTGAGAGATATTCATTAAGATTTAACCATGCTTATCAACATCAATCCCACTTCACAGTCACTCAAACAATGCATTCAAATCAGCAAATCCCTTTAACATTCATTAAGCAAAAACAGTGAACCAAAAACATGCAAGATCAATCAACTCATTTGGTTTCAAGGGTTTATGGGTTAAGAGACAAAGAGGGTCTCTTTTGTATGGTGGTTTAGTAACAGGGATCTCTCAAGAAAGTGGCTTTGCTTTGGCAGAAGGCTAAGTGTTAGAACCAAAGATGATGCAAGAACAGCAGCTCGAGCCGCCTAATCCTAACTCGATCGAGTTCAACACTTAGAGCTTTTTAGAACAAAATCCTAACTACCCTTTTTGGCATTTCGCCTTTGAAACTGAGGAGCTTTGCTCACTTTTCTTTTAAGAACTTCCTAGGGAGAGGCTTCTTGAGGTAACATCTAGCGGTTTGGGATTTTCTAAACACTTAGGGAACTTTTCTTTCTTTTTGACACTTGAGGCTTTGCCTTCTTTTCATTCTACTTAGAACCCTTTTTACTTTCCTTTTCTTTTTACTAGACCCTTTTTAACACTGCCAACTCCCTGGACTTAACTAAACTCTTTTTCCTTTGGGTTTTCCCAACTTTTACCACTTTTCTGGTTTTTACACCCAACTCGATCGAGCTCGAGTTGGCACCCCCAAACTTAGCCTGAAAACAATCCCAAGAGAACTAGACAACTAGAACTACTGCCCCTGCCGGTTTAAACACAACACCTTATGCTAAGCAAAGCCAAGAAAGGTTCTCACAATTCGCACAAGAGATAATATGGGGTTTGAAATGAAAAGGCTTAGGTTTAAGGTGTGGTAACTGTCTCAAAGATGAGATCAGCTATCTGGACAAGCAAGAGGGATATGAAATAGGTAAAGAATGTCCAGATATGTATGTGGTAGCCATGAGTTGAAATCAAATGCAAGCATTGGTAATTAAAGATCAAGTTATGGTTCAAATAGATAGGGAAATGCATCAAATCACAGCAATGGTTGAATGAGATGTGCATGCAGTGATATGATCAAGATAAACATGGTTCTTGCTGCTCAATCAATCTCACCCTAATGCACAAAAGAATCTAAAAACAGGGCACTCAAGAAATCGCAAATGACAAGTTTTCAAAGTCAAATCAACAATGCAAGTAAAAAGATGAATGATGCAATCCTAAACAATCTAACAAATATGAATGCAAAAAGATGAAAATATTTTTGGATTTTTTGAAAATTTTATGATTTTTTTGGTTTTTCTATGCAAAAGATGAATGAAAAACTAAGAACAAAGAAAACAAGGTTAAATCATCTCTTGAACCCTCCCCCAAACTTAAATCACACAGTCCCTTGTGTGAGAGAAATTTAGTGAAAGATTCAAGAGGGCAAAACCAAGAAAAAAAAGAACAAATGCAAGAAAATAAAATGGTATATGACAATGGTATATACCTCGAGCTATCTGTCGAGTCAATGTCGCTTCTCCAAAGAAAACTTGTTCTTGCTAGACTTAGGCATAGGAGATACTGAGATAAAAGAGAAAAGCAATATATACAAAATAGACATGGGAATTCCTCCCCTATGGGCTTGTTTTAGGTCGCATAGCTTGACCTTTAACCTTTTACGCGGGGGTTAGATCTTGAAGAGGAGTGATGATCTCCTCCGTAGGGGTTATTCCTAGGTATGGTTTGCACCTATGACCGTTTACTGTGAATTCCTTCCCTTCTTGGTTGAGTAGAGTGAGGGATCCATACGGTAGAACTTCATGGATCTTGAATGGTCCCGACCATTTTGATCTTAACTTCCCGGGAAACAACCTCAACTTGGAGTTAAATAAAAGCACACTGTCCCCAGCCTTGAAACCATGATTGCCATTAGCTGCTCTTCTGGCATGGTGTCGTTTATGGGGACTATGTCCTCAACTCTCATCCTAGATAGGTGGTCAGCAACCCCATTTTCAACTCCCTTCTTGTCCACAACCTCTATGTCAAACTCATGAAGCAATAGAATCCATCTGAGAAGCCGGGGTTTTGTGTCTTTCTTAGCAAAAATGTTCCTAAGGGCAGCATGATCCGTGCGCACAACCACTTTTGACCCAACCAAGTAACTTCGAAACTTCTCAAATGCAAAGACTACAATAAGGAGATCCTTTTCTGTGGTTGCATACTTGCATTGAGCATCATCCATGGTTCTGCTTGCATAATAGATGACATTGAGCTTCTTGTCTATCTTTTGTCCATGCACTGCTCCAACTGCATAGTCTGAACCATCACACATAATCTCGAACGGATGATCCCAGTTTGGAGCTTGGACAATTGGGGCTGAAACTAGAGCATCTTTTAGCAAGGTCCAAGACTTAAGGCATTCTTCATCAAACTCAAAGTCCACTTCCTTGCATAGAAGTCTTGTCAATGGTCTGGCTATCTTGGAGAAATGCTTTATGAATCTCCTGTAAAACCCAGCATGACCCAAAAAGCTCCTGATGTCCTTCACAGTCTTAGGCACAGGAAGCTGCAGCATCACGTACACCTTAGCTGGATCCCCTTCTCGGAAATCTTGTGTCCAAGGACAATTCCTTCTTGAACCATAAAGTGGCACTTCTCCCAGTTGAGCACTATATTTGTCTCTTCACACCTCTGCAAGACCCTGCACAAGTTTGACAAACATGAGGAGAAGGATGCTCCATAGACTGAGAAATCGTCCATGAAGACTTCTACCATCTCCTCTATCAGATCTGAAAAAATGGAAGTCATGCATCTCTGGAATGTAGCTGGGGCATTGCACAGCCCAAATGGCATCCTTCGATAGTGATAGCTCCATAAGGTAACACTTCCTTGACCTTGAATGGTCCTGACCAGCGACACTTAAGCTTCCCAGGGAATAGCTTGAGCCTTGAGTTGTAGAGGAGCACATCATCTCCCTCTTTGAAAACCTTGGGAGTGATTCTCTTGTCATGGAAGGCCTTAGTTCTCTCCTTGTATATTCTCGAGAACTCTCATAAGCATCCAAGCGAATCTCCTCTAGCTCGTGGAGGTCCATTTCCCTCTTCTCCTGAGCTGTACTTAGCTCCATGTTTAGGAACTTAATTGCCCATCTAGCTCTATATTCCAACTCAAGAGGCAAATGGCAAGACTTTCCCATAGATCAAAGAGTATGGAGATCTCCCAATTGGCGTTTTGTAAGCAGTTCTAAGCCCACAAAGCATCATCCAACTTCTCTGACCAGTCCTTCCTTGATGAGTTCACTGTCTTGTGGAGTATGGCTTTGATTTGCTTGTTAGAAACCTCCACTTGACCACTAGTTTGAGGGTGGTATGGTGTGGCTATCTTGTGCTTCACCCCATATTTTTCAAAAGGTTTCAAACACCTTGTTGACAAAGTGAGATCCTCCATCACTGATCACACATCTTGGAACCCCAAACCTTGGGAAAGATGATAGTCTTGAACAGCTTGAGGACCACTTTGGCATCGTTGGTTGGTGCGGCTATGGCTTCACCCATTTTGAGACATAGTCAACGGCGACAAGTATGTAAACGTTGCCGTGAGAGGCAGGGTTGAATGGACCAACAAAATCTATTCCCCATACGTCAAACACTTCAACTTCCAAGATAGGATTCTGAGGCATCTCGTTCCTGCCGTGATGTTCCCTGCCTTTTGACAAGCCTCACACTTAGAGATGAAGGCATGTGCATCTTTGAACATACTTGGCCACCAAAAACCTGCTTGTAACACCTTCTGGACCGTTTTGAAAACCGCAAAATGGCCTCCATAGCTTGACCATGGCAATGGAACAAGAATCCCTTCAACCTCTTCTTTAGCTACACATCTTCTGAACAAGTTATCATTCCCTTTTCTGAACAAATAGGGTTCATCCCAATAGTAGTGAACCACATCTTTGAAGAACTTCTTTCTCTGGTATCCACTCCATCCACTTGGAACTTCCCTGCACACCAAGTAGTTCACAAAGTCTGCATACCAGGAACCTCTTCTCCTCTTGCTATCCTTCTTCCTCCACGGCACTTGGTCAAGTACCTCTATCCACGATCTTAGCAGCCATAAGTTGCTCCTCAGGTAGCGATCGTCAATGGGGACATCTCTCTTCGATCCTCATTCTCGGTGTCCACTATCTCGATATCGAACTCTTGAAGCAAGAGAACCCATCTAATCAGCCTCGGTTTAGCATCTTTCTTGGTGTAGAGATACTTGAGAGCTGCGTGATCAGTGTGAACTATGACCTTTGAGCCCACAATGTAGCTCCTGAACTTGTCAAAAGCAAACACCACGGCTAGTAATTCCTTCTCGGTTGTCGTGTAACGGGTTTGAGCATCGTCTAGCGTTCTGCTTGCATAGTAGATGACGTTCATCTTCTTATCCACCTTCTGACCAAGCACTGCTCCAACTGCGAAGTCTGAGGCATCACACATTATCTCAAAGGGGCAAGTCCCAATTTGGAGCTTGGACAATTGGTGCGCTAACAAGGGCTTCCTTGATCTTCAAGAAAGCTTGGCTACACTCTTCATCAAAGATGAACTCTGTTTCTTTGCATAAGAGTCTTGTGAGTGGCCTTGCTATCTTAGAAAAATCTTTGATAAAGCGCCTGTAGAAACCCGCATGTCCCAAGAAGCTTCTCACATCCTTAACTGATTTTGGCTCCCCAAGTTGCACCATTACTTCTATCTTTGCCTTGTCCACTTCAATGCCTTTCTCTGAGATCTTGTGGCCAAGGACTATCCCCTCTTTCACCATAAAATGGCACTTCTCCCAATTCAAACCAAGCTTGTTTCCTCACATCTTTTCAGCACCCTACATAGATTAGACAAACAAGAGGAAAAAGAAGAGCCATAGACCGAGAAGTCGTCCATGAAGACCTCAACCATTTCCTCTATTAGATCCGAAAAGATTGAAAGCATGGCTCTTTGAAACGTTGCTGGGGCATTACAATCCAAACGGCATTCTTCGATATGCGAAGGTGCCGTATGGACATGTAAATGTGGTCTTTTCCTGGTCATTTGGATGGATTGGAACCTGGAAAAAACCACTGTAGCCATCCAAGAAACAATAAAATGGATGACATGCCAACCTTTCAAGCATTTGGTCAATGAATGGCAAAGGAAAATGATCTTTCCTTGATGCAGAATTTAACTTACGATAATCAATGCACATTCTATGTCCAACTATTGTCCTACTTGGGATCAATTCATTCTTTTCGTTCTTGATGACAGTAATCCCACCCTTTTTTGGGACGCAATGTACTGGAGAAACCCAAGTACTGTCCGAAATAGGGTAAATGATTCCTGCATCAAGAAGCTTCAAGATTTCTTTCTTTACTACTTCTTTAAGATTGGGGTTTAACCTACGCTGATGTTCAATAGATCCCTTTGATTCATTTTCAAGATGGATCCTGTGAGTGCATAGAGTAGGGGAGAGACCCTTGATATCGTCCAGCGAGTATCCAAGAGCTCTCCTGTACTTTCGCAGCTCAACAAGGAGGGTTTCAAGCTCATGGGGGTCTAATGCATCATTGACAATGACAGGGTATGTGGAGTTAGAGCCTAAGAACGCATACCTGAGCCCCTTTGGGAGTGGCTTGAGATCGACTTTGGGAGCCTTGAGCTCAGACCAGTCATCGTCCGTGCCTTGCTCTTGAGAGCTTTCCTCCTTTGGTTTAGACTCTAGAGCAAACAGGTTCTCAACCTGTTTCCATCCCGGATGCTCTTCGTTTCTGACTGACCAACTCCTCAAAGCCTGTCTTCTTTTGCTCTGTGTGAGTCCATAAGCCAAGCATAACCCATACTCTCTGCTTGTAGACATCCAAACTCCTCATTATCCTTAGTCAAAGCCAGCTGCAGCTTATCCTCAACTCCCAATTCCTCCAAGTAGTCATCGGCTAGCTGCTCAAGTGTTTCAATGTAAAATGACTCACCATTTATAGTTGGTTGCTTCATAACATCTTTTACATTGAACACCATCTTGCAGTCTTTACCCAAATTCAGCTCAATCTTGCCTCTTCTCACGTCATTATAGCTCCAGCAGTGGCAAGGAAAGGTCTTCCCAAAATCAGAGGATCTTTGGGTTCTTCATCCATCTCTACTACCACAAATCAGTTGGAACTATCACACTTCCCACCTTGAGTGGCATATCTTCAAGCATACCTACTGGAAGCTTAACTGATCTATCAGCAAGGATCAGAGAGAAATGACACTCCTTGTATTTTCAAAACCCAAACGCCTTGCCACAGTCAAAGGCATTATGCTTACACTTGCTCCCAAATCACACAAACTCTTCTTGAAAGCTAAAGGTCCCAAGGAACAGGGAGAGTGAAGCTTCCAGGATCACCAAGCTTCTTTGTACTGTCTTGCTTTGAATTATAGCACTACACTCTTGAGACAATACCACCATGCCTTGACTTCATCTTTCAAAAATTTCTGATAAGGCTTGATCATCATGAGAGCATCCACAAAAGGGATCTTCAGGTTGATCTCTGACAATTGCTGATCAAAAACTTTCTGCATTTCTCTGCCATTTGTTTCTTGAAACGTGTTGGAAAAGGCAGCATTGGTTTGAATGGTGGGGAACAAAAAGAGTTTCCCTCCTCTTCTTGTTTCCTTTTGACGGCTTCTGGTGCGCTGTCTCTGCTTCTCAGGCTCTGGTTCTACTGACTCTTTCTCAACTCTCTCCTCAGCTTCAATGTCGACTGACTCCTCCTCCTCTTGAATCGCAACGTCCTCGTTGCTTCTTGATGGTACCACTCTCTCCGGAAGAACTCTCCCACTCTTAAGAGTAATTGCTTGCACATACTCCTTTGGGTTTGCGATTGCTTTTCCAGGAAGCATTCCCTTTGAAGAGGAAGGTATGTTGTGGCTCTTAGCTTCCAAGTGTTGGACCTTTGAGTTTAAAGATTCCAACTTCTTGTTGAGGTCATTGTAAGAGCAATCACCTTGTTGTTGATCTCGGCTAGCTTGGTGTTAGCTCAGTAGCACCACTTGTTTGGCCCTTGATTAATTGTTGAAGCATGGTCTTCATATCTGATCTTGACTTGAGTTGCTCCCTGCTTGAGCTTGAGTGAGCCTTGGTTCTGATTCCAAAAACCTTTGGTGGGTAACCACGCTTGAAGTAAACAGTTTGTTGGCCCCCTTGATTTTGGTTTTGTTGAGGTGGGTAGACTTGGTCTTGTGGATTCTCCACATTGGTGCTGCGGTAAGAGAGGTTCGTGTTGTTGTTTGTGTTGTAACCCTTGTAGTAACCTCCCTGATTACTCATATAGCACACTTCCTCAGTTTGTTGGTCCTCCTCCTCTTGGTTCACATCATCCTCACAAACAAAGTGAACTTGCTTTTGCTGGCCAGTCAAGATCTTGTCAAGCTTGTCATTCAATGTTTTGATCTCCTTCTTGTGCTTCTCATCATTGACTGAGCTATCTCCTCTTGAAGAAGATATCACAATGGATCCTCAAAACCGCACCATTGGA